CCCACCCATCCCCATCCCCACCGCCACCCACGGGTGCGTGTCCCGCGTGGGCTCCTCTCCACCCGTGTCCCCCCCAAACCCCCTTTGCCATGTACAGGCAGTCTCAGGCACAGCTTTACATCACCCAGGGCACCTCCTTCCCCTCTTCAATATCTACCAGAGCTTTGGGGAACCCACGACACCCCCACTCGTGTGACCCTATAACCAAGCCCGGAGCGGGAGCAGCTCCCCCAGCACCCCCCGTTCTCTCCGGTATATTTAGATATCTCAGCCAGGAGAGGCACATCCATAATTTTCTCTTCAGCTCATGCAGTGGCCGGTGTTTCTCCTCCCATTTCCCACCCCCTCCACCATCCATGTATTAATCAGTTGAAAACTGCGCAGAAGAGGATGATGAGTTCACGAGGGCTTTGTGATTTTACTGGGCCAGGGAGAAATTTAAGTCAAAGGAGCTTCTTCTTTAGCAACATCGGTGCTGGGCTGGGAACCTCCTTCTCTTTGGGGATGGAAGCAGTTGCCTCCTGGAGAGGGGAAGCTGCTCCCGGGGGCGTGGGTCAAGTGTGGAGGAGTCACCTTGTAAGCAGGAGCAGATTTTGGGGTCTCTGCAGAGCAAATGATTTCTCTCCTTGCAGAGATTTGCTTTGCTGGGGAGGGGAACGAAACACATCCATGGATGGATGGATGGATGCATAGGTAGATGGATGCATGGATGCATGGATGGATGCAAGGATCGATGGATGCATGGATGAACGAACAGATGCATGGATGCATGGATGGATGGATGGATGAGGGCGGATGGTGAAAAGATAATCCCTCTTCTCAGAAGAGGGTGCTCCTGGAGAAACCAGCCCCAGGAGCCCGTTCGGGCAGCGCAGTCTCTTGGAGGAGCTGAGGTGCTTCCCCCTCCCTCTCTCTCAGGGCACGAAGCAGCTTTGGGTCGGGGAGGGCAGAAGGATGGTTGAAACCAGTTATTTTCTGATCACCCCAGTAAAGTTTGAAGCACAGGGCTCCATCTCTGCTATTAAATCCCCCGGGGGCAGACCTGGGCTCCCCATCGCTTTAACTCACGGGGTCCGGCTGCCACCAACGCTGCCCAGATTCGTGCCATGAGACGGGGAGCAGATGCTTTGGGGCCGTTGCCTCTGCCATGGTGGCAGCTCGGATCAGTTCCGAGCCCTGCTCATGGCTGGGAGCAGCTCTGAGGGGACCACAGCGGGACCGTCACCTCCCAGACCCGCGCCGCGGTGGCATCACGGTGACAGTGCCGCTCTCTCCTGTCTTTCCAGGAATGAAATTTGGGGCAGGCGGCTCAGCAGAGCATCCCAGACCACGCACCCACCCCGGCCCCGCTGCGCCCCTGCTGAGGCTCTCCCAGCCCATGTCCAGCTCCATCCATGGCTCCTCCAGCGCTCACTAATGGTGGGGACATGCAGGACACCCCGTCAGAGGGCCCCCTCTTCTCCCACCACCATCTCAGCTCATCGCTCCCTCTGATCCCTCCTGGGGGGCTTTGCAAACTGCTCCAGGGAGGGGGTCCACGGGGGACACTAGTACAAGGAGGATGGGGTGGCTGTCCCATGGCATCGTCCCCCTCGTCGCGTGGTGCTTTGTCACCTTCCAGGCGGGTAAGGGCGGCTCTGGCTTTCCCTGGGGTACCTGAATTTCCTTGGCTTGAGCCCTGCCTTCCCATGGGTGTCACCCATCAGGGTCTGGGGAGGGGTAAATTTGGGGAGAGGGGAGGGGAAGCTGAGGGGGCTGTGGTGCATGCTCATGGAAAACCAATTCTCTCCCAGTTTACCCTTGCAGTCTCTCAGCATCCCCAGTCTCCATGCTGGTACCACGTGTCGTGCTAGGACGGGGTTCATGTCTTTGCAGAGCAGCTTGACCCCACCCAGAGCACTTGGTTGGGGGTGGTCTGCTCTGGGTCATCCCCCACACGGGATGCACCTCTGGGACCCCAGATCCATCCTGTGCAAGCTAGAAAGGTTGGAAGGATGGAAAAAAATTAGATTTTGCTTCCACTCCCCGTCAACGCAAGACCTCCCAGGAGCTGGGCATCTTGCTTGTCCCTTCACTTGGGACCAGCCCTCCCCAACACCTCTAAGGCCCTCAAAGCTGCTCAGCACATCGTCCCTGGCCGAAGTACAACAACCGGGGCCCCTTGCTGGGCTTGCCTGCCCGGCGGGGAGAGCTTGCATGGGGCACAGGGCATGCTACGGGGCCGTACACCCATCCTTCTTCAGGGGAGAGCCACCCGTACAACGTCTCTTTGGTTGCACATCACTGTGCAAAGCCCTTCCTCCTCTATCCCCCCTTCCCTCGGCCTCCCTTGACTTGCTGGTGGAAATTTATGGGGCTCTGCAGCGAGCAAGGACAGCCGAGCGATGCACCGCGAGCTGACAGCACCAAAGACCAACGCCAACAATTTCTAGGCAGAGCAAAGAGCGTTGCCCTCCTTCCCAGCCCTGTCTCCAGCCCAGCCCGAGGGATGGTCTCTGGGCAGGCTGCAGCGGTCCCAAGGACTGAGTCAGCCTCCACCTTGCAAAGCTGAACCGGTTAGCACCAGTAAGAGCAGCTGGAAGGGACTGGGAGAGGGACCTCAGCCACCCAAGAGTGGGATTTTCTCGGCCAGCATTGCAAGGTTGACCTTGCACTGTTCTCCGCTCCCCGGGAGGAGCATGGGGCAGCTTTGAGGGGGCTAATTCCCCTCTCCCCATCCCACGGCGAGGTTTAACATCCCTGCCTGCTGCGGCAGAGAGGGGGTTTGCTGGAATGGGAGGCAAAGCCGGGCAAAGGACCGGGACATCCTGAATCTCCACCCAGCATGGCCAGCATTGCAAGGTTGACCTTGCACCGTTCTCCGCTCCCCGGGAGGAGCATGGGGCAGCTTTGAGGGGGCTAATTCCCCTCTCCCCATCCCACGGCGAGGTTTAACATCCCTGCCTGCTGCGGCAGAGAGGGGGTTTGCTGGAATGGGAGGCAAAGCCGGGCAAAGGACCGGGACATCCTGAATCTCCACCCAGCACCGAAATGCGAGTCAGCAAGTTCTCCCTCACCCCATCCCCATCCCCATCCCATCTCCATCCTCATCTCCCCGCAGCCGCCTGCCTGCGGGAGCAGCCCGGCAGCCACGCTGAGGAACGCCTCTTCAAGCACCTCTTCACCGGCTACAACCGCTGGTCACGGCCGGTGCCCAACACCTCCGACGTGGTCATCGTGAAGTTCGGGCTCTCCATCGCGCAGCTGATCGATGTGGTGCGTAGCCCACCGGTGGAGACCCCAGTCCTGCATGGTGTCTGTCTTTTCACCAGTTGGTCCTACTGGTCCGGGGCCTGGGGACATTGGTTTGAGGTTGGGTTCGGGCACCAGCAACCTCCTGGCCATCTCCAGCGGGTGACAAATGACCCACTCTGTCTCCCCCAGACCTCCAACGAGCAGGGCGGTCTGCACCCCTCCTCTCCATCCCAAACCCTCCCTTCCCCAGCAGGCGAGCATCAAGGAAAACTGCAGCTCTCCATCTCTGCCATGTCCTTATCCACCATCTACCTGCCCCGAGGCACCTCTGGGTTTGTCTGTCCATCCATCCCTTGCTCATTCCTCCCATGCACACCCATCCATCCACCCAGCTACCTATCAACCTATCCACCCATCTACCTATTCATTTATCCACCCATCTACTGATCAACCTATCCATCTATCCACCCATCCATCTGTCCACCTGTCCATCTGTCCATCCTTCCATCCACCTATCCACGGGACTATACATTTGTCCATCCATCAGAGCGGCTCAGAGCTGTACGCTGCAAAATGCTATTTCTTGCTGCCATCTAGTGAGCAGATATCCCGGGGAAATACAGTCTCTCCTTGTACTGGGACCAGTTGCTCCCAGGAGCTGAACCCCAGAGGCAGAGGGCAGAAAGTGAAAGCAGTAATTTGGGGGCCGATGCATTGATGGGACAAAGCCTTGGGCTGCCTGTCTCCTCTCACCTCTCCCTCTTTCCCACCGCAGGATGAGAAGAACCAAATGATGACCACGAACGTCTGGCTGAAGCAGGTAGGAGCCTGTTCCCTCTCTGGGGCAAGGGCAGGAGCGTGTCAAGGAGGACACAGCAGAAAGCCCCTGCCCAGGGGGGCTTGGTGGCACCTCCACGGTGCTGTTCTTTGGAGCGATGTTGCCAGAGGAGGAGGAGGAAGGTGCCACTGGGACCAAGGGCCGCCTGATGCCCTCCCCTCTGTGTGTCCCTCCAGGAGTGGAGTGACTACAAGCTGCGCTGGGACCCTGCTGACTTTGACAATGTCACTTCCATCCGGGTGCCCTCTGAGATGATCTGGATCCCCGACATCGTGCTCTACAACAAGTGAGTGGCGCTGCCAAGATGGGGCACCCCTAGGGCCACATCCACCATCCCATCCCATCATCCCATCCCATCCCATCCCATCCCATCATCCCATCTCATCCCACCTCATCCCATCCCATCCCATCCCATCCCATCCCATCCCATCCCATCCCATCCCACCTCATCCCATCCCATCCCATCCCATCCCACCCCATCCCATCATCCCATCTCCTCCCAATCCCATCCCATCCCATCATCCCATCTCATCCCACCTCATCCCATCTCTGCAGCTCATCCCATCTTATCCCATCACACCCCATCCCAGCAGCTCCCTGGCACTGCCAGCCCTCCTTCTCCCCATCCCACCCCACTGGTAAGGATGCAAATCCATCTGCATCCATCTCTCCATGCCCGGTGCTCACACTCCCACCCATCTCCATGCTCTGGGTGATGCCCAGGATGGTGAACCCAGCACCGGGCAGGGATGCACGATGGGGCCACAGCCTCAAATCAAGGCTCATACCAGCCCTGGGAGCTGAGGGAGCTCCTGGCCCTATTTCTTGGGGGAAACCCTTCATCCTCCTCTGACCTTCCACCCCCCCACCCCTGCAGTGCCGATGGGGAGTTCGCTGTGACCCACATGACGAAGGCCCACCTCTTCTCCAACGGGAAGGTGAAGTGGGTGCCACCCGCCATCTACAAGAGCTCGTGCAGCATCGACGTCACCTTCTTCCCCTTCGACCAGCAGAACTGCAAGATGAAGTTCGGCTCCTGGACCTACGACAAGGCCAAGATTGACCTGGAGAACATGGAGCACCACGTGGACCTCAAGGATTACTGGGAGAGCGGCGAGTGGGCCATCATAAATGCCATTGGCACTTATAACTCCAAGAAGTACGACTGCTGCACCGAGATCTACCCCGACATCACCTTCTGCTTCGTCATCCGTCGCCTCCCGCTCTTCTACACCATCAACCTCATCATACCCTGCCTGCTTATCTCCTGCCTGACCGTGCTGGTCTTCTACCTGCCCTCCGACTGCGGGGAGAAGATCACCCTCTGCATCTCCGTCCTGCTTTCCCTCACTGTCTTTCTGCTGCTCATCACGGAAATCATCCCCTCCACCTCGCTGGTCATCCCTCTCATCGGCGAGTACCTCCTCTTCACCATGATCTTCGTCACGCTCTCCATCATCATCACCGTCTTCGTCCTCAACGTCCACCACCGCTCCCCCAGCACCCACACGATGCCCCGCTGGGTGCGCAGCTTCTTCTTGGACTTCATCCCTCGCTGGCTCTTCATGAAGCGACCCCCGGCGCTGCCTCCCCCCGAGGGGACCGCGGGGCAGTACGACCTCCCGGGGACGAGGCTCAGCACCTCCCAGTGCTGGCTGGAGACGGATGTGGATGACAAGTGGGAGGAGGAGGAGGAGGAGGAGGAAGAAGAGGAGGAGGAAGAGGAGGAGAAGACTTACCCCAGCCGCATATCCCAGGCGGGCTCCC